ATTATGGTATTACTCAAAATGCTTGATGAGTGGTTTTAGAGTTCCCAAGACACATAGAGGGTTGTTGGGTAAAATAATTCACTAGTCTCCCCTCAACAATGAAATATGGTGTTTAACTCACCGGTGGGGACTGTGTTGGAAGCCTATTCTACAGAATAAATGATATGGTGTGACATCTACAGAGTGCGGCTTTGTTTTCACCTTGCTATTATGCTGAGCGGGATGTGCTCTTGGGGCCAGTACCTGGTGTAGTGAAAGACCTGAGGACTGTACACAAAGCTTGGGGTAGTCCAGTTTTATTTTTGAACTTTTAAAACAAAGTGAACTTGTAAGCAGGGGTTAGTACCCCTTTTAGTAAGGTCCCTCCATTGGTTAGAGTTTGGTAGGTGGATTTATGTGTCCCTATATATTCTGGACTGGGAGGAGTCCAAGGCAGGGGAATAACAGGAACAGGCCATCCCTGATATACACTAATTTACAATATGTAAGTCTGTAGTCTGAGAAAGAGAACCCATCAGGGTAGGCCCAAATAGACTCAGAAGAACCCACCAATGGGAGACCTTTTTTGAGGAGTATAGAAAAGATGACTGGACACTCTGTGTTAATATGAATTTACACTGTGCTGAAGTATAATGCTGGTCCCAAAGCTCTGAAGGTAAAGACTGGATGTACAGAACTGTTGTGTTATGCCACGGTAAAATCTTGTTACAAGGCAGTATACCTGGACTCTCCTTTATTACTGCAGCTGGGCCTAAGATCGGGAAATTATGGGTGACTAAGATAGTGGAGTTTTTCCCTATTACAGGATGGAAGGTACCCTTGGCCAGCTTGGAGGGAACTGGTTGTGAATCAGGGCTGTCAACAAACTTATCCTTTTTGTCCCTGTCCCCTAACCTAATCGATCCTCTTCTCCCTCCACATATGCATACTTACTGAGATCCGACAACCATGGCCTCTGGGGATCGCTCACATACTTTGCCACAAATACTCTCTCATGGATGCACATCTGCATTAAAGCCCCATAGGTCATAGGGCTTGTCTACTGAAGCCAGAGATGAAGGTAGATGAGCCCCATAGAACTCAATAGGACTGTATTGCACAGGTGAGGACTCATGGCTCTGGATTCAAACAATCCCCAGAGGCTGCGACTGCTAACATCTCAGTAAGTATACATCTGTGGAGGGGGAGGTTGGGATGGTTTAGGTCAGGAAAATGGGGCTAAAAAATAGATGCACTTTGTCTGGATATTTGTTGGGCAACTTCTTGTGAATCTTAGATGTACATGATATAGTTCTCTTTTGGGGTTATCAGCAAAAGTTACCTAGAGGTACTGTACCTGCTATTTTGTGGAAGTGGTGAAAGGCATCTTTAAACCATGTTGAGGAAAATACATAACTTTTGTGATATTTAATTAAAGAGGAATTCAAAGAGGCAAGCAGAGGGCAAACTATTACTTCCAAGTATTGCCTGTTGCTCCCTTCAGCAGATATTTTCTCCATTGCTGACTTACCAGTGCAGATTCCTCTCACACTGGCAGCATCACCAAATTTCACTCTCAAGCTCGAAAGTCACAAGCAGTAATTTCTCTCAAACTGCAAATATACAGCTATGGAGATGTCTGCACAGGAGTGCCTAGGCACCCTCACACACCAGGAAAAGCACTGCTACATTTAGGCCTCATGCTCACTGAGCATTTGCTCAGCTCTCCCGAATGCTTTTTCTCCTGGCAGAAGAAAAATCTGAAAACAAAAGAACAAAAAACACCTAATGCCATATTTTGCACACGCATTTAGGCACATCAAGTGTTTGAGCATTAATGGATCCTATTGGGCAAAATATTTGTTTATTAGGAAAAACAAGAAAAAGGTGATCTGAGGAAGAAGAGAGGAACCCCCTCCAAATGTGTCAGCCATTTCTGAGGGTCTTCTTGTGGTTGGGACTTGTTCAGTGGTCAAGGTCGTCTAGGACACTCTGTATATTGATACGCTTGAGTTTTTAATGGTGTTTGTGAGTATACATTTGTTTTATCATTAAAAAAAACAGCTGTTGCTAAGGTAATGAACAAGGCTGGTGCTCCCCTATTTTTTCTTGTTTTTCAGTGTATCCTCTGAGCTTCCTCAGCCCTTAGGGGGCTGTAAAGTTTTTGTCATTACTGAATTAGCTGAAAATGTATTGGCCACCATTGCCATCTTTGAAGCACAGGAGGTTTTTCTTTATGCTTGCATTAATTTATTCTGGCCATTGGAATGAATGTTCAAGCTCTAAATGGGTACTTAAGTGCATTTATATGTGTTTATGGGCGTTTAGGTGCGTCAAGCGGTTTTCTGCCCAAATGCTCCTCTCTGGAATTTACTGGTGATGGGTTTTCTTTTCAGCTTAGAAACGTCTATGTGTGCATGAACACATAGGCTAATATAGAGGTGTGTTTTCAGGCAGACAAAATTGTCAAATGCCTGATAAAAGCTGCATATTTTAAGCCCAGTATGCATGATCCCTCATAAAGGAATTCAAGACAAAATTGCATTTTTCAGGGTACAGGCACAAGTTCAGGTCTACTTCAAATAAACAAACACAAGCATGTTGTTATTCAAATGCTGCATCCTAAGAATATTACACTTTTCCACATTCTATATTTATATTTATGATGTTCAGTAAGTCATTGAATTCATTTTGATGATAGAAGATCTTATCATTTTGATGATGTTACAAGACTGCTGCTACTAGCTGATTAGCTGATTAAACAGAGCTATTTTAAATATAGCAATTAATATAATTTAGCACCATGCTAAATGTAGTGCTACAACCTTGCCAGTAAACAGAACATTACAGTACTCAGCACAACCTATTTAAAAGGTTCATTAATGACATCCTGTCAAACAGCCTGCCACATAGGGCCATATACCCTTTATTTATTTATTATTATTTATTTCAGGTACTTATATAGCACTGTCAATTTATTCAGCGCTTTACATATATATATTGAACATTCACATCAGTCCCTAACCCTCAAGGGGCATACAATCTAAGGTCCCTAACTTACATACATACACATATTAGGGCCAATTTAGACAGGATCCAATTAACCTACCAGTATGTCTTTGGAGTGTGGGAGGAAACTGGAGCACCCAGAGGAAAACCACGCAAGCACAGGGAGAACATGCAAACTCCACACAGGAGGTGCCATGGTTGGGAATCGAACCCATGACCCATAACTGCAAGGCAGATGTGCTAACCACTAAGCCACTGTGCCGCCCCAATTGTATTTCCTTCATTCTCATAAACTATACAAAAGGTAAGGGGAAATTTTACAATGAGTCTCTGGCATAGACAGGGACATTTTTCCAGTGGTACACAAACAGTAAAAGGGTGCGCTGGCTGCCAGCACCCCATAAATAGACTGATGTGTGATATAGGGGCTCTACAATGACTTTTCTCTGCAGATCCATATAAGTATGTGAACTTTTAAAGTGGTTCTAAAGCCTCGATTTAACACATCATACTTACTTGCTCTGTGCAATAGTTTTGCACAGAGCAGTCCCGATCCTCCTCTTCACAGGTCCCCCACCAGCGCTTCTGGTCCTTCCCCCTTGCCAAGTGCCCCCCAGAGCAAGCTTCTTACTCTGGGGGCACTTGTGCATGCTCGCTCCTCAGTCACCTCTGTGTGTCTATGGGACACAGAGAGCATAGCTCATTCCCCCCCCCCCCCCCCCCACACACTCCCTCACTGACTATGATTGACCATTGGCTCCCGCTGCTGTGTTTCAGCCAATGAGGACAGAGAGACATGGGACTTGGCTCTTGTGCACATTGCTGCATTGAGATCAGGCTTAGGTAAATATGGGGGGGGGGGGGCTGCGGGAGTTGCTACACAATGAAATTTGTTTTTACCTTCATGCATAGAATTTATGAAGGTAAAAAAACCTTCAACCTTTAGAACCACTTTAAAGGATACGTTCACCTTCCGGACATGTTACATGTTCCACCCGTTTTTAGGGTGGAACTTGAAATATGTTCCCATAGCCGCAGCAACCCCCACTGCCCTCATTCCCTCTGACAGATAGTACTAGGAGAGGTTTCCCCATACTATCTGTCAGATTTGAAAACAGTGCGGCCGTGCGGGGCTCCGCCCACATGGACGCATCACTCATTCACAGTGTTCTGTGAATGAGTGCCTACAAGTCCTGGCAGCCTTAGCAGCTGTGGGCTTGTAATTTTCAATGAACTACCACAAAGCTGTGGAGCTCCGTGGTAGTTCATTGAAGCTTCCTATCAGAATATCTGTTTGCTCATACATCCCGTACAGCAAACAGATATTCTAACAAGTCTGCAGGAGACCTGCATGGCATCAACGATCTACTGATCACTGGTGCAATGCTTTCCAGGCTCCTGTAGACAAGAATAATAAATGCACATTTGTTTACCTACAAAAAATGTGCATTTATTATTTTTGTCCAAAAGGTGAACTTTTCCTTTAAAATTAAAGCAGCAAATATTCTTCTACATCTTACAATTACAGAAAACACTGGTGGGATTAAAGGGACATTTACAGCAAAAGATTTGAAATTGTAACAAGTGCCTCCACAACAGCTGATTCTAGTGGACACCAAAGGTTAGCAAAATTGCCATTTCTTTGTTTATTCATGGAAGATACAATTTCCAGCAGTTCAGCCTATTTACAAGTCTGCTGTTTTTTGCATGGAAATATGTAATTTTTTTATTGTAGGCCTGTAATTTTTAGGAATAACTCACTGAAATCTGTCCGAACAAGAGTCTAGCAAACATCCCGGGTATGATAAAATTTGAAACACGAAATCATAAATTATAATATAATAAATAATCATAAAAAATAATAATATAATAATAAATTTAATTCAATAATGTAATCAAACCAAAAAACACTGAAATTTGAAATAGAGCGCCAAGTACGCACATCACTGAGCTTAGTCGCAAAATCGTCTTCAGTGTCTGATGACGAATTTCCCCACGAATCATTATTACTCAATTCTGCAAGTGATTCTAATTTACTATCGTTGTTCTCTTGCTGGTCTAAAACCGCTTTTGTCCTAAAAGTACGCTTTTTGGACGCCATGGACGTTTCTCAGTTTCCAGGCAGAAAGAACAGTAAAAATGCAGGCAGGGCACAGGACAAAGCACTAGGGACAAAATGTATGTGAAATGGTTTGATACAGTAATGTTTTACTTTGTGATTTTAGTGTATTTAGTGAATGTCACTTTTTAAATTTTTGAACTTCCCGCCTGTTCCGTCCCCCGTATGTCCCGTACGTCCCGACACTCACAGGGAACGGAACCCGGAAGACGCATGTTGGCATCGGCCGGAGGAGATGGCCGGAGACGCTGCAGGGGGGACGTCACGGGAGTGCAGGACAAGGTACAGTGGGGCAAAAGATTTAGTCAGCCACCAATTGTGCAAGTTCTCCCACTTAAAAAGATGAGAGAGGCCTGTAATTGGCATCATAGGTAGACCTCAACTATGAGAGACAAAATGAGTAAAAAAATCCAGACAATCACATTGGCTGATTTGGAAAGAATTTATTTGAAAATTATGGTGGAAAATAAGTATTTGGTCACCTACAAACAAGCAAGATTTCTGGCTTTCACAGACCTGTACCTTCATCTTTAAGAGGCTCCTCTGTCCTGCACTCATTACCTGTATCAATGGCACCTGTTTGAACTTGTTATCAGTATAAAAGACACCTGTCCACAACCTCAAACAGTCACACTCCAAACTCCACTATGGTGAAGACCAAAGAGCTTTCGAAGGACACCAGAAACAAAATTGTAGACCTGCACCAGGCTGGGAAGACTGAATCTGCAATAGGCAAGCAGCTTGGTGTGAACAAATCAACTGAGGGAGCAATAATTAGAAAATGGAAGACATACAAGACCACTGATAATCTCCCTCGATCTGGGGCTCCAAGCAAGATCTCACCCCGTGGGGCCAAAATGATCACAAGAACGGTGAGCAAAAATCCCAGGACCACACGGGGGGACCTAGTGAATAACCTGCAGAGAGCTGGGACCAACGTAACAAAGGCTACCATCAGTAACACACTACGCCTTCAGGGACTCAGATCCTGCAGTGCCAGACGTGTCCCCCTGCTTAAGCCAGTACATGTCCGGACCGTCTGAAGTTTGCTAGAGAGCATTTGGATGATCCAAAAGAGGATTGGGAGAATGTCATATGGTCAGATAAAACCAAAATAGAACTGTTTGGTTACGTGTTTGGAGGAGAGAGAATGCTGAGTTGCATCCAAAGAACACCATACCTACTGTAAAGCATGGGGGTGGCAACATCATGCTTTGGGGATGTTTATCCACAAAGGGACCAGACGACTGATCCATGTACAGGACAGAATGAATGGGGCCATGTATCGTGAGATTTTGAGTGCAAACCTCCGTCCATCAGCAAGGGCATTGAAGATGAAACGTGGCTGGGTCTTCCAACATGACAATGATCCCAAACATACCGCAACGAAGGAGTGGCTTCGTAAGAAGCATTTCAAGGTCCTGGAGTGGCCTAGCCAGTCTCCAGATCTTAACCCCATAGAAAACCTTTGGAGGGAGTTGAAAGTCTGTGTTGCCCAGCGACAGCCCCAAAACATCACTGCTCTAGAGGAGATCTGCATGGAGGAATGGGCCAACATACCAGCAACAGTGTGTGCCAACCTTGTGAAGACTTACAGGAAACGTTTGACCTCTGTCATTGCCAACAAAGGATTTATAACAAAGTATTGAGCTGAACTTTTCATATTGACCAAATACTGATTTTCCACCATATTTTGCAAATAAATTCTTTCCAAATCAGCCAATGTGATTGTCTGGATTTGTTTTCTCATTTTGTCTCTCATAGTTGAGGTCTACCTATGATGCCAATTACAGGCCTCTCTCATCTTTTTAAGTGGGATAACTTGCACAATTGGTGGCTGACTAAATACTTTTTTGCCCCACTGTAAGTTCTGGAGGGAATCCCTGAGCAACACTGCAGGGTAACCCGAGTGTAGCTCGGGGTTATTGCTTTTGGTACTGAAAGTTTCCCCCGAGCTACACTTGGGAATACCGCCAAGGGGTTTAAAAACAAAGTGGAAGGGTTGCTGCATAGTCAGCCTGCCCTCTCTGCTGCCAATACTTCTCTGTCTTTACTCCTCTGTCCTGTTGGTCCAGCACAGACCAGCAACTTACCCGATACTTCTTATTGAAGAGAATGTGACTCACTCCTTTCTCCCAAAATGCGGCACTCAGCACCTACGCCTGGTCATGTGGGGGCTTGTGGTACTGTATCTATACCTGTGTAAACTCCAATGCAGAGCAACCAGGAACTTAAACCAGGCTGTTAGGGGCCACAAAATAAAAAACTATAAAAGTGGCTCCATGTGATTGTCACCCCTATCAGCAATTTGGTTTTAAATTACTTACACTCACCGGCCACTTTATTAGGTACACCTGTTCAATTGCTTGGTACCACAAATTGCTAATCAGCCAATCATTTAGACGCTGTGAAGACGACTGGCTGAAGATCAAACCAAGCATCAAAATGGGGAAGAAAGGGGATTTATCTGACTTTGAACATGGCATGGTTGTTGGTGCCAGATGGGCTGGTTTGAGTATTTTAAAAACTGATGATCTACTGGGATTTACACGTACAACCATCTCTAGGGTTTACAGAGAATGGCCCGAAAAAGAGGAAATATCCAGCGAACGGCAGTTGTGCGAACAAAAATGCCTTGTTAATGTCAGAGGTCAGAGGAAAATGGGCAAACTGGTCCGAGATGATAAAAAGGCAGCAGTAACTCAAATAAGTTACACTTCCACTTGTTACAACCAAGGTATGCAGAATGCCATCTCTGAACGCACATGTCGAACCTTGAAGCAGATGGGCTACAGCAGCAGAAGACCACATCGGGTAGCAAGGTGTACCTAATGAAGTGGCCGGTGAGTGTATATTCTTAATAGAGGGCTATAGTGACTGTTAAGTACTGGATTGGTGACAAATCTTTGGAGGAAACAGCTGGCCAATGAGTGTAACCTTTCACTTGTGTGGACTCGTTCACACCGAAGTGCCATGCGGGAAACTGGGTCACATGGTACTTCAGTGTATTGTTAAAAGTTGTGCATGCATTATTCTTGGTGCAATCCAGTGTGATTTCAGACCATTGAAATAAATGGGCTGATAATCACATTGCACTGAATTGCACAGAATTCAACACAAGCAGGTTCCTATGTGATTCCAATATGAACTGACACTATCTTCAGCTTTCTTTTTGGATCTTTTGACCTGCACCCCCACCCTCCCTTTTGTTATTTTCCCTCATCGGAGTCCATCTTCATGGGGTAATGCCGCCCACTTTGTGGGTGGGTAACGGATGGTAAACTATTATTTGGTTGGTGTAAGATATTGCTGCTTGGGTCTTAAGCTGGGTTGAATGAAAAAAAAACCTCAAAGTATATACCCAGCTTTAGTGGCTAAACATGTTGGTCTGTTAATGGTTAACAAAGGTTCTGTTTGGTAATAAAGGTTAAAGTTTATTTCATAATTAAAATTGATTTAAACCTAATAAAGTGGCCTCTGCCTGAACTTTCCCACAATCCTTTTTGTGTGTTTTTTAAAATTTTTTAAATCGGAGTTCCAGTGATAATGAAAAAAAAATTAAAATAAGCAGCTACAAAAACTGCAGCTGCTGACTTTTAAAAACAGACACTTACCTGTCGCTCGATCCCACGGTGTCCCCCCTGAAGGCCAGCTCTGTGTTCCCGGAGCCGGCATCTTCAGTGTGGGCACCCGGCTGTGACAGCTTGCAGCTTCACAGCCAGGTACCCACTGAGCATGAGTAGCGCTGCACATTGTGAATGGTCCCGTAGTCTTCTGGGACCTGTCACGTGTCCCACAAGACTACGGGGAGGGGAGTAGGACAAATTCTGCTTTTGAGCACTTAGGCAATCGCAGCGGAAGTGGGATTGGGTACTTGTCAATTTCGTGCACCCGCTCCCTCCCCACTCCCCAAAGGTTCCAATCCAATGGGGAGCGGGGGACCAGTCTTTAAAGCAGAACTTCCCTTTTGGGTGGAGCTCCGGTTTAAGTATGTTGTTAAGGTATGATAGGTGTTAATGGGGAGTACAATCTCATCTTTCTCTGTGCATCAATAATTGCACGGACAGCTGAGAGAGCATAAGAAAAGCAAGTATTATGGGAGATGGGAGGTTTATCAAGTAACACAATGTAACAGAGTCTATGGAAAATAATGGATTTTCTCTGTCATCTGTGCTGTTTGCCTGGGCTGTAGACACATGCATAATGCATCAAGTGTGAGCAAGCCCTCTAAAGTAAATTCTATTGACATAATCTGAAAATGATGAGAAAGAAAAAACCATCACAGTATATGATCACCATCAACCAGGATGTCCATGAGATGAGAGCTAAAAAATGTTAAACAATATCTGCTAAATAATCAGAAAGACACATAAGTATATTATTCCATTTTCAATGCCATGTACAAAGGAAATACACGTTTGGGTGTGCCCCATGTAGAACACAGAATAGCACATAGAAAGTGGAAGACAAAACAATTAAGAATGCTTATGTTCCCAGGTGGGAATACTGATGCAGTTTCTGGATCCGGATGTAATTGCTTTTAGCAATTCAGGGAGCAGCCATGGGGGAATGTGGCTGACTAATAGTAATATTATATGAACAAGAGTGACTATAGGGAGCCTGTGCCCAGGAAATGGAAGAAAATGCTTTTACCACTTACATTAACAATAACATATAAATCCATTTATAACTCTGCCCCCAATTACATCACCAATTTTGTCTCCAAATATCACCCAAACCGTCCACTCCGCACCTCCAATGATCTCCTGCTCTCTAGCTCCCTTGTCTCCTCCTCCAATGCTCATCTCCAGAACTTCTCCAGAGCCTCCCCCATTCTCCGGAACTCGCTATCCCAATCTATCCGACTATCGCCTACTCTGCCCACTTTTAGGTGATCTCTAAAAACCTATCTTCTCAGGGAAGCCTATCCTGCCTTCAGCTAATAAACAAATCTTCTATTTGTCCTAATAGTTCTTCTCCACAGTTATTACCTTTTGTACCACTAGCCCCTCCCTCTTAGATCGTAAGCTCCAAAGAGCAGGGCCCTCCTAACCCTCTTGTATTGAACTGTATCATTGCTGTATTGTCTCCCATTATATTGTAAAGCACTGAGCAAACTGTTGGCACTATATAAATCCTGTATAATAATAATAGTAATAATAGTAATTTACCAGCCCCGAAATTACATGGCCCTTTCCAGTAGAGTGATAGGATCCCTGCTACCTAGTCATAAGCTGTTAGCCACAGACATCTGTGACCACAG